GAGAGGAACTTTTTGCGCTGTATTGTTAATACATTAATGACAAGGAACGGTTGGGATAGAAAAAAAAGATGAAAAGGAACAAGGATTGCTAGAACCAATCCAACGAATGAAAAAATTTGAATTTTTCATCTTTAAAGATTAAAAAACGAAACTGATAGAACATCTGCCATGAGATGATTGCCTACTTTCCTGTCATACAAATGAACCAATCCAAATCACTGTATACTATAATCACAATTTTTTTTTTTTAAAAAAAAAGTGAAAAAGTAGGGAAAAGAATTGAAAAAGGATCATATTTTGAAATTGAATCTATTCCACTTCAACAGATATTTGTTTCCCATCCAAATATTCAAATGAACAAATAAGAAGAAATGAATCCAGATATTTCAACCATCGTTGAGGTTAATGAATGCATTGTTGTATTTTAACGGCTAATGGATTAACGAAAGAAAAAGCTCCACATTGATGCCTAACAATAATTTATCGCTCGAAATATGGAAAGAAAAACAGAAGTAATCTGAGCAGAGACATCCAGACTTTTAAATGCGAATATATATCAGTCCTGCATCCGGGGTAAAATTACATCTGGATATCAATTCAGGAAAACAGAGTGGGTTTCATCATCATTCTTTAGACTAAATACCGGAACATTAGATTAGATTACTAGAGGTTTTTCTTTAAATGGATCTAACAGTAGCCACATCCTTAAAATACCTAAGGACTTAATTCCATGAGTTAAGAAGCAGCTTCTTGCTACTAAAGAAAAATAAGCTGCAAAGAAAGCACACTTTTTTGGCTTCCCTAACATCCTCCCTAACTATCATTTTATGATGATGTACCGAAAGTCAATCATCTTGCTATTCAGTTAGATCGATTGAATCTAGAAATATGAATAAAGTGATCTGAATTGCATTTTTATTTCAAACCTACTTTATGCTTTTATTTCTCTCTCAACATGCAATAATTTTCAGCTTCTTACTTTCCGTTTCCTTAACAAAATCACGGAAAAAAGAAAATTTTGAAACCATTGTCCTTTTTCGCTTCCTTTCTCTCTGTTGTTTGATTTCTCCATGTGTAATAAGGCAAAAATCTGCCATGGCATTCGAGCATTTTCTGGAAATAAATTAAGAAAAAATGTTGTTTAACTTATGATTTTTTCCAGAACAAACGCAAATGACACGCTCAATGACAAATTATTCAGCGGAACAAACGATTAACGATTTGCGAAGCGAAACATTAGCGCCGCAACACAATTACACACATTATATGATGAAGTATTAGCGGGACTACCATATTGCTTCATGCATGCACGTATGAAAACTGCTAGCATGCATGAGACAATATGTGAAAAGTTGAAAATGCATGCATTTAGGCATATTTTATGCATCACTGTAGAAAATCTGTAAACAGTAAAGCAATGTGAGAAAACTGACGATGTATCATTATGAAGGGGATCACTTCCAATGTAAAGGTATGAGGAAGTGTGAAGTCACACCTTAGCTTCTCTTTTGCCAAAGCACTTAAACGAGCATCTGAACTGCACCGGAAATGAAGTATCCTTTGAAGATTTGAAAAAAAAAATATGATTGATTTTTTAATTGAAACATTTCGTTTGATGTCATTTGGGAGAGGAAGAGAGAGAGAGAGGGAGGGGGGAGAGAGTGAGTGAGTGAGTGAAAAGAAGAATGGATTTTGGTCGCCTACCTATAAATCTTTTCTAAACAAAGAAGTACTATTGAAGATGTGCGGTCATTGCAATACAGACTTTTAGGGGGTGTGACTGTATCATTCATTGATTGTCTCAGTAACAACATTGAACCGTTTTATTCAATTTGATAAGACTTTCGATAATATAAGATTAAACAACGTTCAACTGCTATCTGATGAATTGTCCAATCCGATCTGATGGCAGAAGAAATAAATAAATATGCAAAATAGCGCCAATTTGCTCGCTTCACTGATTTCATGGCGTAAACAAAGACAATTTGAAAAGAAATAAAATTTCAACAATCATTGAAAGCTAATATATCTTAAGAATCAAAAAACGCCATAAATTGGAGTATTCAAAAATAAAGAAAAAATGATTTGCATCTTAACAGTTGTAGGCATAAAAATACTTAAATCTACCGAGGAATATTTGGTTGATTTTAGAGAATCAATCAGAGCAGCGACTAAAAACGGCTGATGTAATGTTATTACACAAGTGAAGAAACAATTAAAGCCGAAACATAAAGTCTTCATTTAACGGGTAATGCAATCCGGGCATTCCACCCAAAACTGCTAAAGGAAGGGCGGGTAAATTCTGTTTTCTTCCATCATATGTCATTCACACTGCAATATAACTGAGACGATTATATATATATATATATATATATATATATATATATATATATATATATATATATATATATATATATAT